AGAGAGAAAGAGAGATGGAGAGAAAGAAGGAAGGAAGGAAAGAAAGAAGGAGGGAAGGAAAGAGAAAGAGTGAGAGCACTTTGGAAGCAAATGAAAGATTTTTGTTAGGCGTTGGATAGATGGTATGTCATGGCAATTATAGGCTGCTTTGTCACTACATGCTAATAATCAAGAACACTTCATCTAAAAAGGATTTATTGCACAGCTAACTGCAGCAATGTCAAACTCTCCTATGTCAAACTCAATTCCTTTTTTCCATGTGATAGGTTTAATTTTCATAGAGGTTAAGTTTGCTAGAGAATGAAGTCTTTAAAAAATGCACAAATGGGAAAATTCGTTGTGTTTGAAAAGCTGAACAGCCCGGAAGAGATTAATAAAACCTCTCTTGGTATCATGAGAATAATTAAACATTTTTAGTTATTGGAAACAACCTATGTACACCAAGTTCTCTTTGACTACCTGCTAAATGAAAATCATTGCGTGGCAAAATCTTGAGCTGTAACAGGAACAGCAGAAGTCTGTTATTACTGTTCTGTGTTATGGTAGTGTACCGTACATACTTACTGTGTCCCTGCCACAGTTCGTATTAAGTAATTGCTCTAAGTTGAGTTGACCCTCTATACTAATTAAAAGATGGTTAAATAATGTGGTTGTGAAAATGTTAGAAATCATCAGACCTTGGTCTACGTTAAGCAACTGTCTACAACTAGGTAGGCTGAATTTTAAATTGCAGAGCTGACCCTGACTGAGTTGTGATGATTCTCTATCATAAATACAAAGTAACTGTGAAGAGCAGAAGCATACTCTGTCATTGTAGCAATTTACCAAAAATATACTTCCTCTCCTTAAAAATAGAAGTGTTCTCTGTTTCCATGTCAAAAGTACCCATGATATGCAAAAATATAACATCGTCCTGAATACTTTTGCACCTACTTTTGCATAATGTTTCCAATTAGTATTCTTTTAAAAATATTAAGAGGACAAAGGTAATGAGTAAAAATTCAACACTGTGCATTTTCAAAGTGGAAGATATTACCTGGACTCTGTAGTCACTCACTGCCTTTTATTTTTCCCATGGCAAGGGTGGCATATTTTAATTTTCTAGCTCTCTTAATCCAGTATTCCAATATAGCAAATATTTTAAAATGCAAGGGCTTTGTCACAGAAAGTAATGAATGCTACAGCAACAGAGCATGTAATCAGCTTTTTGTGTTGTTTATTTGTGAGAGTAGGGAGAGAGAAAGGACATAAGACCTCAGCAAACCAGAAATGACTGACTAGTTTCTGCCAAAAAAATATGGGACAGCACTGCTTTAAGGAAGGCAAGTGAAGAATTACTGTCTGGCCAAATAGTATGAAATGTTGGCAGTAAAGATGCATAGTCCTGAGAGAGCAGTAGCTCAGAGCCTCATTTTACAATAACAACACAAACTGCAAGCCAGAGAACCCTTAGCCACCAGTGTCTGGTGAAGAAATGCTTATTAGGTTTCCAAAATGACAAACCAATGTAAGTATTAAAATTCTGTGAGATCAAGAGACCTGCCAAAATCTTTATTACGTTTTAAGGTATTTGCATCATTCTCTGGCCACTTAATGCATCTAAGACGTCCTTCACCTTCATCAGCAGCCAAGGGCAGGTTTTATTCTGTTTAAAAAAAAAAAGTTGACAAAATAAGTTGATATTCGCAAAGATAAACATGCAATTCAGTATGCTTTGCTGATACTGTTTTCTCTCCACTTGGCTTTGAATTTGCTTTTGCTGCAAAAACTCCCAACACCAAATAGGCAATTTCTGTCCTCTGTGGGACAAGCTTCTCCCACTGTCTTGGTACTGTTTTCCTTGTGATATGCCTGAGATCCTTGTAGTCATTGCTAGCCTGTGCCACTGTAAAAGGTGACCTGCTGCACAGATTTTTTTTCTGCCAAAATGCCATTTCCTTATTACTAGATGTAAAGAGAAGCAAAGGCATTAGATGGGTAAACTGTGGGGCTTCTTTAGTTCTCTTTTTAGGGTGCGAGATGTTACTACAGACATGCTTAGTGTTGCAGCATGTGAGTAACTCTGCAGCATAGCTAACTCTGTTCTGGTGCTCTCTGATTCACCAGTGACAGTCAGCTCTCTACAAGTTATTTATCTGCCTAAATTATTGTACTGATTTATTGTGTTCTAGTGCCCAGAGCACATGAGGTGCTGCACAGTCACATAGGAGTGTGCGGGCTATGTTCAGAAATGTGTGCAATGCAAAGAGGCTAACGAATAACCATCTGTTAAAAGTGCTCTTACATATATCATCCCACTTAGTTATTCCCTGCCCTCCATCCCTCCCTCTGGATCCCTTTGGCTTGCTTTAGTGTGCTGCTCTCAAGCGTATAATAACATGGGTCAGGGTTAGCGCATGAAGGAGGGATAAAGGAATTATCCAAACAAATGGTTCAAAGCTTTGTGTTTCTTCACTTTTCTCTAGCAAATCCTTGGCCAGGGTTTGAAGGGTCTTTCCTCTGCTGGGCTATGGAATGAATTTGCTTCCTACAGTATCTTGCAACTGTGTCAAAACCACAGTTGTGTGTGTTTCAGGGTTGGTTTTTTGTTTAAAGCATGTGTTTTTTAAAATATGTCTAAGCATGGATAGTATTTAATATGTAAACTTGTCTGTGGCCAGAAAACAGAATAATTAAAATTAACAATTCAGCCTATTCAGTGAGGATGTGCTTTAATAAAGCAGTTTTGTTATGTTGAAATCATACTAAACAGTGCTTATAAAAAGGATTCATTATTTTTAAAACTTGGGTCATACACTGTAGGAGACTCACGTAAATTCCAAGTAAATATATAGTGATAATGTCAGATCTGCAGCACTTTCAGGAGGGCAGAAGGAACTAATTAATGTCTCCAGGAGCTCCCAAGGCACAGATAAAAAATCGGAAAAAAAAATCCTTGCATAATGTGACACAGACTTTTTGTTTTTACCACACTGAGGAAGAGGAATCAAACCTGTATTGCTCATCAGCCAAAACCAGCACAGTGTGAAGGATGGCTCATTTAGGTTTTCCAGGTTTTTTTATTTACACTTTTGTTCTTTTCATTCCCTATCCCTCCTCTTTTTTTCCTTCCTCTTCTCTGTCTTTTTCATTCAGCCACCTACAACCCAATAAAGCTTTCTTTTTTGCCCAAAATAACAGCAGAATGTTCATGTTTACATTTCGTTTTTAAAATGTTGTTGAGAGGAACAGTGTAGGATTCTCCCGTTGTAAACAATGAAGACACAAATGACAAGGCAGATAGTCATTGTGAAGACAAGAGCATTGATGGAAATGGAAAGGGCTCACGAGTATAAAACTCCCACTGACTGCTCTAGAGATGGAAAAATAGGAAGGGAAAAGGAGGCCAAGAGGAGAAAGTGTTTGTATGATTTTCATTATCCTAGTGAGGTCTTGCAGCCTCATTTTCTTTGTTTAGCAATACTTTCACGTCTTTTATCTAAACACTTCATGTTACAAAATCAAGTTTTTTCTGCTTCTGTGGCAAGCAGATTGAAATGGAGCTTCTCCAAGAAGAGAGCTTTCGCATCTGCTGATGAAGAAAGAGAGGCTGGCTTCTCCAGACTTCCCAGTTTTGAATGACAGCTGGGTGCTTGTTCCTGTTGGCTTCTTTGAAGGTCTCGGCAGGAATGACTTGGCAAATCTTAACTCTCTTACAAACTAGATGGCTGCCAGGCAGTGTCAGTGAGTTACGAAGTTACCACAAGATCTGGGGAGAAGATCAAGGCTTGAATTTTGAGAGTATAGGTCATGATCTTGTGTCTGATGCCTGTCTTGCTCCAGCTGTGAAATAATCTACTGCAAGTAATTTTCTCATTCATACCAATGAAGCTGTGTTGGGTTTTCAACAGAAGGTTTTGCAGATGTAGTTATTGATAGCACTTAGGGATTATGGAGGACACCTGTATACAGAGAATTGTCCAAGCAAAGATGATTTTAGTTAGTTAAAAACAGTTTTAGTGCATGTGAATTGGCCAATTCCATTCTGTACATTGGAATAAAAAACAAGATAAAAATTCCTTTATACAAGCCCAACTTGGCTCGTGTTTAAAGGCATAAAGTAATTAATATGATGCCTGGCAAAGTTATAGTAAGTTTATTGTAGAAATGTGAACAAATTACTTTTAAGCCACACTTACTGTATGATAGCAAGATGTGCTATATTTTAACTATATTTCAAATAAACCCCTAGGATCCGTGGCCTCTGCCTTGAAACAGCAAAGGAATTTCTGGGGTTCTTTCTGAAATAAACAGATGTCATGATACAAATTGTGAACTGAAGAAACAGAGAGGTTGCCCCAGAGAGGGGCAGAGCAAGG